CCGTGTGATTAAGATTTTCCAAGTGTTTCTCTTATGTGTGCAATGCCTTATATGGTAGACCTTATTGATATGGATGATAATGTTATTTGAATGTATTAAAAGGGAAACTTGAATTGTAAGATACGGTCATGTGCCACGAACAATTTAATAAATGAGGCTACTCGTGCCATATAATGAAAAATGGGAAGGAAATGTGAATTGAGATGAACGATTGAAGGATGATATCTCAAGTAAGATAGCCTAGTCGATCGGGCCGTGATTAGACACCATGTTGCACACATGGTGGTCATTGTACTGGATTGATTGATTGAAATTGTGGATATGGTTGATGTCTCAAATGAGATGACCTAGCCGATCGGGTCGAGATCAAACATCGTATAGGAACACAGTGATATTGTGGATTGTGGCACATGGTACTAAGATTATCAACCTAATAAGATGGAAATCGAAGCGGAAATTATGTGATCCTTACTTGATATTTTTCGTATTTGTTTGAAGATCTTATTGTACATTATAACTTCTTCCTTTATGTTTCATTGTTCATTCTATTAAGATTGATGTTTAGCTATACATACTAGTACTATTCGATAGTACTAATGTCCTTTTTGTCGAGGGAGCTACATCTTTAAATGGATATAGGTGGTTCCGTAGCAGACAATGTTGATCGTAGCTAGTGGCGCATCCTCTTTCCAGCTGACTTGGTGAGCCCCGTATTATTTCGGGGTCCTATATCTTTTGTATCTTATGTTCACCTTCTTATCATATTTTGAAGTATAGTCGGGGCCTTGTTGCCGACACTTTTGTAGAACTTTCTTTTGTATCTACTTAGAGGCTCCGTAGACATTATGTGGGTTGTATATAGGTATTGGAAGGGTCAGTGTATTATGTTGTATCTTGAACCCTTGTTCCTTCAAATTGTAAAGTGTATGAAATTTTGAAAACTTATCAATGATGTAACAAATGAATCGATTTGGAAATGTTTACAAAATCTTCCTACTGTATAATTAATAATAACCTATTCTCTTGATCATAATGGATTGGGTATAAAGTGTCTAACATATTTGCTCGGTCGGGTTCACTCGGTTGAGCACCGGTCGCGCTCCCAGAGCTTGGGGCGTGATACAATTCTGATTCATTTTGAGTCTTGATATCTCTTGAATTAATCTTGGAATGTGTATGTATATATATATTGAATGGCTTTATAGAATATAGTATAAAACCATGAGTTCTGCCTTTAATACTGGAGCTATGAAAACCCTCCATAAAGGAGAAACTATTCTTTTCAAAACAGAACTACAAAGATCTCACCTGTCAATACCAAAACCCATTTCTTGGAGCCAAGTTTCCCTTCCACAAAACTGGTTACTACAAGATGCTACTCAGGCTGAGAAATCAGAAAACACTACGGTCTCTCAAATCCAACAATATTCTAGTGGATCTGTAGCTATTTTCTTCCAAAGGTCCCTTAGTCAAAGAGTATTTGTCTCGTCCTCTTTGGCACATTCTGAGATCCAGTCTGGAAGACATTCAATATCTTCTTTTCCTTCTAGAATCGAAACTGTTAATTTTGACTCTAGGATCCCTCAAGCCAAATATTTTGTGGAAACAACCCCTCCAACGGAAGTTAATTATGAACAACCTCAATCTCCCATTTACTCATCTCTAGGTGCTAAATTAGGTGTTTTAGAAAAGGATTTCCAAATTGATAAAGAAAAACTTAGAGCAAATTTTTATTCACAAGAAAATATTTTCAAAAGAACTTGGTTTTTCTAGAAGTTTCAAGGAGACGATAGAAAAAATCTCCAAAATATTTACTATGGGTCTTTAAACTTCATAAAAGAACAAATCACTTTCTTTGAATGGTTTGAGGCTTATGTTGAACATCACCAATTAGATTTTCCTTTTTCTAAATCAATTAATGTTTGAAAAATTTGGAAGACCTCCTCCGGAGAAGAAGTCATCTCAGAACTTCCTCCGACACAAGGATTTTAAATAAGTTATGTAAATACTTCAGTAGTTGCTAATCCTTTTAAATTAAAAAATAATAATAAATCTATTACAGGCAAAGATACTAAAAATATATTTGAACAAAATAATTATACGAACAAATATTTATAATCCCTTGGTGAATATTTAGTTATAAAACCAACTGCAGCATCTACTAGTTCTAAGCCAATAGATACCGCCACTTCTTCAATCCCTTTGTTTAAACCTTATGATATCCCTAGAACTTTCGCTACGGAACTTCGGATCCACCAAGTTAAAGACTATCCTCAGTTCTTTGACCTTCAGCGTAGGATCCTAGAAATTGAGAAAACCCAGATAGCTCAGGATACTCCATCTAAGGAGTCTTCTGTACATGTTCTCCGAGAAGCCGATTCTGACCAAGAAACCAATTCGCAATCAGAAAAATTTTATGAAAATCCACCCCTCGAAATTAACCCCATCAGAACAGGATCTTTCAACTGGCATCAGCCACAAAGACTTTACTATTCTAGAGCTACCCATCCTGATGTAGCTTTAGAAGAAAGACCCAATGTTATGCAAAACAACTATAATACCAATAATATCTATGAATGGAACATAGATGGTTGTTCTGAATACAATATTCTGGCCAAATTACAATAAATGACTATGGTAGCCACTGCATACCAAACTTCTCATAATTTTTATGACCAGCTTACTATTCATGTCTTAGTAGCAGGTTTCACATGTCAACTTAAAGGATGGTGGGATACCCATCTTGCGAAGAAGATAATAACCAAATTCTATTAAGTGTCCGAGTTGATTCGACAGGAGAACCAATTCTTAAGGATGGCCTTACCATTCTTGATTCAACCAACACCCTGATTTATACCATTATCAAAACATTCATAGGTAGTCCAGGTATCTTTAGGAAAAGATCTTCTGAGATACTTAACAACCTTAAATGTAAAACCTTTTTTAATTTCAGATGGTATAAAGATTCCTTTCTTACCAGAATCTACGAAACACCTAATGGAAATCTCCCAAGCACTACTAACAGTAAACTTCCCAGAAGGAGTTGGCATCCATTATGGTCTATCCCAGTAATCCTCACTTCCTTCATAATGCACATTGAGCCTAAAATTATCAGCAATTTCGTCAGTAAAGTTTTGATCTAGCAATTGATCATTCCATATTTCACCTTGCCTCAGTTCTGCCACATCTTGTAGTTCTTCATTGATTGGAAATTCTTCAGGTAACACATGATATAATGCCACCAACCCAGTCCAGTTTTCATGCCAAATATTAGTTGTTCCACTCTTCATCTCCCAAAGGATCGTATGTTCAATTTCATCCCTAGCATTCAACATTTGCCTCCACATATAAGAACCCTTTCTAAATTGCACAACTGTAGGTAATTCCTTTTTGCAGTATTTGTTCCACCTGAAGTTGGACTACAAAGAATTAGTAGTCCTCAACCTCCACCATAGCTTAGCAAACAATGCCCTTGAAACATCATGTAGGGATCTAAAGCCTAGACCCCATTCTTCTTTGGGGAAACATAAATTCTGCTAAGAATCCCAATGTCTGCTCTTTCCTTCTTCCTTTGTAAAGAATATGGCAAAAAGCTTATGTCAATGCTATAGTATATTTTTAGGTGGATCCAATACTGACAACATATGAACTGGCATGCTTTGCAACACACTAAAAATGAGTGTTTCTTTTCCTCCAAAAGACAAAAGTTTTCCTTTCCATGTGTGTAGTTTAGCCTTCACCTTTTTTATTAGATCATTATAGTACTCCTTCCTCCCTCTAGTGTAAAATACAGGGCACCCTAAGTATATCAAAGGGAATTTGCCTCTTGCAAATCCAGTGGTATCACCAACTGCTTGAAACATCCCATATGGTACCTTAGAATGCATATAATATGAGCTCTTAGGTTTGTTGATAATTTGACTTGATACCTTCTCATAACTCCCTAATACAGCCATAATCTTACTCAAAGATGGAGGGTGAGCAGATGCAAATATTATGGTATCATCAGCATAAGCCAAATGATTTAAAGGATCTAACCACTTAGGCATACTAGAACCAACAAATGATTTATCTTCAAAGAGATTATTTAAAGATCTGGACAGGACATCAGCTGAGAGAATGAATAAGGCATGAGATACAGGATCACCTTGCTTTACTCCTATTATAGATTTGAAAAAACCTGAGGATTGCCCATTCACCAAGACAAAATATCAGTTGTTAGCTACCAAATTCCACACCATGTTAATAAAATGTTATGCAAAATACCATTCTCCTTAGAATATGTAACAAGTATTTCCATGACACCCTGTCTAAGCCTTTGCCATATCCAGTTTAATACAACATTGGCAGGCTTACCTCTCATTCTAATGTTAGTAATAATCTCTTGTGTAAGTAGGATATTCTCAAAAATACTTCTCCCTTTCACAAAGCCATACTGCTTTAGAGATATTAAGGAAGGCAGGATTTTCTCCAATCTATCATGAATAACTCTTGACATTACCTTGTTGATGAAATTGTACAAACTTATAGGTCTCAAGTCTGAGAAAGTCTCCACTCCAGGCTTCTTTGGCACCAATACCAAATTAGTATGAGTGGTGGACTTAGGCAATGCACCTTCTCTATAGAAATGACGTATCATGTTATGTATGTCACATCCAATTGTGTCCCAGCATGCTTGATAAAACAGTCTAGTAAATCCATCAGGACCACTAGCACTATCTCCACTTAGCTTAAAAACAGCAGCCTTGACTTCGTCTAGAGTTGGGAACCTACACAACTCCAAATTCTGCTCCACAGTCACCATAGAAGGTACATTATCTAGCATTGAGAAATCATCAGAATCCCCTTCATTAGTGAACTGCTTTTGGTAGAATTCAATCGCAGCATTAGCCATTTGCTCTTGATCTTCAAGCCAAGCTCCATTTCCATTTTGAAACCTTTTCAATTGTAATTTCTTCCTCTTATCATTAACATGATTGTGGAAGAAATTAGTATTGCTATCACCCTCCGCAAACTATGTCATTCCAGCTTTTTGCTTCCAGTATTGCTCTTCTATACTCAAAATACTTTTTCAATTCTGTTTGTGGTTTTTGGAGTACTATTGTGTTCTCAATTGTAGGTTCCTCCTTAGACAACTTCTCCTTCGCTTTAACAATCTCCTCCAACATATCGAATTGCTTGAAGATATCCCCAAACGTGTCCTTACTCCATTTAGACAAAGCTATCTTCACCTTCTTAAGCTTGTTCTTAAACATGAGAAATGGATCTCCAATGAAAACAACTTCCCAATTCTGCCTCACCACCTCCATAAATGTGGCATGTTCTGTCCAAAAATTCAAAAATCTGAATGGCTTGATAAAATTTGAGGTTTGTTCTCCACATGTCATCAATAATGGTGCATGATCTGATCCAGTTCTGATTAAGTGTTCCACTTCTATTGTTGGCAACATGCTCTGAAATTGCATGTTCACAAATATCCTATCCAACCTCTTAAATATGCACTCAGCATTGGGTCTCCCATTCCACCATGTAAATGGACTCCCTTTGTACCCTTGATCAAACAGTTCATATGAGTTTACACAAAATGCAAAGTCCTCATATTCATGAGAATGTACTGGCAATCCTCCTATCTTTTCATCTTCATGTAGAATCACATTAAAGTCCCCTCATAGAAGCCAAGGTAGGTCCATATCGCTTGCCAAATAATACAAATGATCTCACAATTCCAGTCTCTCTAAAGCTGCGCATTTTGCTTAAACAATTGTCATCATGATATGTGACCCTAGGTCATGGTGAAATACTTTCACAGTTACTTGTTGTTCAGTATCCTCAACTAATTACCATTCCACCACAGTATCAAAGAATAGCCAAATCTTCCCATTAATATTTGCATAGGTAGTTTCCATATTCAACCTCATTCTATATCTTTGTATGTACCCCTTCTTCTGAAATGGTTCCATCAATTCAATGACAAAGAATTGTGTTCCCTTTGCATATTGATCACTCTAGGAAACGCGTCTTGTGTATTAACAGACCTTATGTTCCAAATCAGTGTCTTGATCATCATTTGATTTGTGAGGCTGCCCTTCTAGGTAAAATTCTTTTAGCTTTAAGATTGTCTTTGTTCTGGCCTTGCTTTCTTGTCTTTTTTCCACTCTTATCTCAGCCCTAGGTGATAGATCAGCATCTCTTGCAACTGCCTTAACATTTTCAGTAGTTATTTCTTCATCTCCTTCTTCTTGAAATTGCTCCTGATCACCCGATGCTTGAATCTCTATAGGTGTGACATTATGTGTAACAAGGTCATGCAATACCTATATAGGTGACTTCAGAGGAACATTTAGTTGAATTTGCATTAGTTGCCCAGTTCCAGAAGTACAAGCCAAGGGACTTGTCTTAATTGTACCTGCTACATAAGGCACCATAGCATGTTGATCTACCTTGTTCTCCTTCATCACCATTTCACATTGATCTCCATTTCCTAAGCATTGTTGAAGAATCTTAAGTTGCAAATCATAAATAGATCTCAAGATAAGGTTCACTGTAGCAGATTGCGCAGAAATTAATGTTCCATTAAGATCACCTAGCTTCCCATCAAATGTTTCCTTATCTTAACTTACTGTATCCTTTAGGACCTTTGTAGGAACATTATCCAATTGGACATCACCTGAAATCTCTACCGAAACATCCTCCACAGTGGTAAAAACCCCAATAGTTCCCCTAGGATTTACTGTTGCATTGGCCTGTGTATTGGCTAAATCATCTTCCACTGATTTTCCACTTGAATTACATTCCTTAGATGATCCTGAAGCTCCTTCAGTTGGAACATTAGGTTGCTAATTGTTTGGTTATTGGGGAAATTTAAACCTAGTTTCCTGTAACGTAGGGTTTACTATAGCACTAGAGTTGTTTGCACCTGCTGCCTTTCCTTGCTTATCATTCATGTTTTCCTCTAGTGTTGCCCTTGTGTTTGTACCTATTTGAACTTCCATTATTTCCACCTCATCACTCCATAGTGGTTTCACTGAATTGGCTTCCTAAATCTCCCCATTCTTGTCTGATTCTTCACATGTCTGAGAAGTGACATCTTGGCATGACTGATTCAGTGTGACATTCATCTGCCTTATTTCTTCTTTATTGGCCCCCAAAACATCAATGCACACAATCCAATGTAGACTCCCTTATATCCACCTCCTCAATCCCTAAATTGTTAGGATTAGGAGCCTTATAATTTTCCAATATTTGAGTTCCATTCCCTATAGGTTTGACAATCCTAGTAGGAGTAGGATTGCCATTTTTCTCATTAACCAATACCTTTTCCACTGCTTCTTTCTTTACACGTATTTGATCCTCTAGATTTTGAGTACCTCCTTTAGAAGGAATTGGATTCCCTTATTTCCCATTTAGCCTACTCGCATTGGCATTAGAATTAGGTCTGGGAATTCCAGTATTTCGCACCTTTTCCTTCTCCAGCTGCCTCTCCTGCTTTTTATTAGGTCCTAGGCTTTGTTTTTCTTTGTTATTATCCTTCTATTTTCCATATGTGATCATCAAGGTTGGATTTTCTATTTCTTCAGCTTGTAGGGCATCAAATTTGTTCTGGATCATAACTCCCTCTTCAGCATTTTTACCTTTCCCTTTGCCCGACTCATTCTCCTTAACAATGTCAATTATGTGACCCACTCTTATTCGTTTGATACTTGTTTTTCCTCCTTTGCATCCACTCTTATCTTGCCAGATTAGTGATAGGTTTCCCTAACACTTTACCACTCGATAATACCTTAGTAGAAGCTACAGTTGTACCAATAATCTCCTTCTTTTTCCCTTTGTCATTGTCTTGCTCATCAAATGGTCTCAATTGTGGATTAATCACCCAGCACTCCTCCTCTTTCTGACCTTGTTTCTTGCATGATTTACAATACTTAGGCATATAGTCATACCTAATCTTGATCCACTTAGATTCCTCATGCCCAGATTCATCTTCTTCCTCAACTATTTTAATTCTTTGAGGTAAATTAAATAGCAAGTTCACCTCAACCTTCACCTTAGCACAATTGGAACGTGTACCATTTTGAGTAGGCAAGTCCACATGTAATGGCCTTCCTACTGCCCTAGCTAATGAGAATACAAACTCCTTGCTAAAGAAGTTTGGAGGCAAATCTTGGAAAAAAATCCAAGCTATAGCTATAGGAGTTTCTTCATTAGGTTTCTACCACGGATTCCACTTAGTACAACGCATCTGCCGCATCTCATTTTGTATTTTTAAATAAAAAGCAGGTTTTGACAAAAGATGAATATAATTCTCCATTAATGAAAGCTTGATTAACCCATGACTATCTTCAATCAAGACTTTTTTATTTTAGTTAAAGATCTTAACTTTATTAATCAAAATTAGTTTCTCTTGCATTGCTTGTTAATATTAAGTCATTTTGGCTAAATTTGAGCCGAGCGTATGTGAATTATTAAAGGAAAAGCTATTTTTGAGTGAGGAATTGGCCTAAGTGAGGTATGTATCTTGCCTTACTTTGTGTGGGGAAACTTCCCTGTAGGATTTAGTTTGATTGCACTATTTAGAATATGTGAAAGATGTGTACATGAGGTGATGAGCGTGAATACGGGCTTATAAGTGGCATTTGACCGATTTAGATTCTTAGATTATTTATGTGCACTTAATTGAAGTTTTTATTTCATGGAATATCTTTCATTGTTAAGTTTATTCCTTCTATTATACTGTGTTGTTGTTGAAATTCTTGAACATGTGTGGCTTCGACCGGATTAGACCATAGGCTATTAATATGTTTTTATGTGATAGTAAGCTCTATGTGAAACATATTGAAATCACTTTATGACTACTTGATCATACTTATTACATTGATTTAGCCATAATCATGCCTTATTTAATTGAACACCCCTCTCTGTTATGATTATTTCATATGTCCTCGTGCACTATTGCTGGAAGTTGTGAGTTTATATCACGATGTGACTTAGTATCATTGTTGTGATATTGTGGCACTTGGTATTATTATTTTGTGGTATCGTGGAACTTGTGGACAAGTTGAGCGGATTGATTGGGGGTGTCAACACAAGGTTTTGTCGTACGATTGTGTCTATTGTTGTGCGTGCGAGGCAAAATAAGGGTGGAATTATCTCTGCTGCCCACGTGGCGAAATAAAGGTGGCTATATACGTATGTGGCGAAATAACAGTGGCATATCATATCAATGTACACATGTGGCATAATAAGGGTGGCTATATGGGGATGTTATGTGATGGCCTAGGCGTGTTATTGTTGAAAGATGAGTATCTTGGTTGTTGTTGGTGTGTCATGCATATTACGTTGTTATTTTGTTCCCAATGTGCTACTCGATGTCTCTAATATTACTTGATAATTTGAGTTGTTATAGTACACTTGCATATGCATACACTGTAGCATATCATTTATATCAGTCCAGGAGTATAAAATTTGATGTTTATTGATCATGTACATATATTGTTGTATATTTTCTTTCTTTGTTACAGTTGGGACTAGTAGACTGTGAACACGCTAGGCAAATTGTGATATTGATCATGTGACCATACCGGGCGGATTGCGATATTAAAATTGTGACCACGACAGACAGATTGTGATATTGAGCCTATGACCACACTGGTGGATTATGATATTGAGCACGTGACCACACCGGACAGTTGTGATATTGGCATATGAGTTGTCGTGCGGGATATGAGTTATGTTGTGGCACGAGATCTTTGTCGTACGAGGGTGATTGATAGTATTGGCACAAGGTGTCATGTGTATAAGATTCGTGATTTGTGACTTGAGATTTGTAGTGATGAGGTGTGGTGCCTCGGAGGGACTCTTGTTGTAAATCCTGTGTCAGAAGGGTTGTGGATTAATCGTTACTTGTCCTTAATTGCTTCCACTTGTATTTTATCTGGTGTATACGGTGAAAATCGATGGCTCGATTTCATCGGCATTAAGGCATCTCAAGGACTTCCAGTGATCGACTCCGAAAATTCTCAATGATCGACTTCGAGACAATTCTACTTCGAGGCAGTATAATTAATGACCGGCCTTGAGGCATTGTGAATTACCGGTCTCGGCGGATCAAGGTGGAGTTCCAAAAGCACGTGCATATGGCAAGTCAAGTCTGGTGGACTAGCCCAAAAAGCGAATCAAGGCATTAAATGGATGTACCAGCCCCATATCTTTATAATTAATGTGTTTGTACTATATTGGGATTCCCCCTCTTATATAAAGGAGATCCTTTTTAAATATCTGTTGCTCCATACTAAATACACTAGAACATTCTCTCTGCTCTTTAACTGTTACACCTCGCAATATTATGACAATGTTACATCCTGCAGTATTATATTTCGATGATGTTACACCTTGCAGTATTTTATTACGATGATTTTATGCCTTGCAGTATTAAATTATGCTGATGTTACGCTTCGCTGTAATAAGTTACGATAATGTTTCACCCTGTAGTATTACATTATTATAATGTTACGCTTTGCAGTATTAAATTACGACGATGTTGCACCGTGTAGTATTGTACATTGAATTTGTCATAAGGTAATTGACATCAATCTAAGGAAAAGATTATTCGGAGTTTATAAGGATTATGCTATTTCACAAGTGATGAGTAAATTCGTAAAGATGAGAGGGGAAGCAAGTCAAAGAAAATAAATTTTCGTCCAAGTTTGAAATGTTGGGATAATATATGGCCCGAGCTAAAATATCCAGTATTTATGGATTAGTACCATACAAGGTACACATGGTCATAATAGTAAGGTGTATAATGTTAAAAGTAAGTAGTATTTTAAGTAATTTGAGATAATTCTTAATTGTGAGGATAATTGGGTAATTATGGATTTTTAAGTGGGAGATTAATTTTTAAATGAATTTTTTTGAATAAAGCTTGAGGGGGACAGCTCCCCCCAACGTGGCAGCCCCCTAAGATCAATCATGTGACTCTTAAAATCACATAAAAGATGGCAAAATATGGAGTAGTCTTTGGCCAACTAAGCCATAAAGTGGGGCCCATTTCCAAAAGCTTAAGAAAATCATTCTAAATTATTTTTGAATCTCCACAATAAGAATGGAACTTCAGCAACTCATTAGAAACATTACTGCTTAAAGTCACTTTCTAATCCAAGATTTTCTTTCCAAATAGCAAATCGTAGAAACATAAGCAACGTTATTGCAATTTTCCAAATAGCAACTTTGTTGCTAAATTCATAAGGAAAGGTTTTGGCCAAGATTTTCTTTGCATAGCTACGTGATTGCTTCGAGCTTTTCATATGACTTGTTCTGTATGTTGTCGCAATTAACGTGTGTTAGAGGATGGTCAAAAGAATGGGCCCAGGTATGTTAAGGTTATCCCTTCTTTAATTTGGTATGATCCATACGATGCAAACGAAACGTGCAAATACACAAATTTCTTAAATGGCTCTATTCATAGAAGTATTAGAGATATCTATGTTCTTGAATTTTTACGTGTCATAATATTTTATCATATGTTCATGGGTCTCAGAAAAATACGAAAGTTAAAAAGAGTTTACCTTATGATAGTACTCAAAGACAAAATGGTCTTATGACATTCCAAAAAAGTTTATTAGCGTACTTTTCATGTATTGCATTCATGTACATTGACCCCATGACTANATATATATATATAGGATATGGGAAAGGTTATGGCGTTATATACGCACTACCACCTGATCAGCTGGTATACGTTGATAATTTTGTCCACAGTGGCCGAGATGATATGATAGGATGTCCTCAGAGGATGATGATGTTATGAAACATGTACCTATGCACGACATGACATTCATACGCATATGCATGACACTATAAGTATTTTATGATTTACAAAGTTTTCCAAACTTATATGTTGAGTCAATTACTCTATATTTCTTCCATGTCTATTATGTACTTATTTATGTGCCTTACATACTCGGTACATTATTCGTACTGACGTCCCTTTTGCCTGGGGATGTTGTGTTTCATGCCCGCAAGTCCCGATAGACAGGTCGAGAGCCCTCCAAGTAGGCTATCAGCTCAACGGAAGATGTTGGTGCGTACCATTTGCTTCGGATTTGCTTGTATGGTTAGTATGAGTTACATGTGTATTGTTTGCTATGGCGGGACTCTATCCCGACCTTTATGAAAACTATGTATTCTTCAAGTCTTATAGACAGATGTCATATACGTTAGAGATTGTATGGCCTTGTCGGCCTATGTTCAGTATTCAAGTGGTTATTTTGGTCTTAGAGGCCTATATGTCTTATGTATAAGTTGGCATTACTTGTTGTATTCTACCCATTTCATGACATCCTCTCTGCCTCAGTTATCTATGATAGTATGACATGAAAAGATACCTTATATTGGTACTCGGTTGAGTAAGGTACCGGGTGCCCGTCGCGGCCCATCGGTTTGGGTCGTGACAAAAGTGGTATCAAAGCAGTTCTGTCCTAGGGAGTCTACAAGCCATGTCTAGTAGAGTCTTGTTTATAGGTGTGTCTTGCGCCACACTTATAAGCAGGAGGCTACAGAGTATTTAGGACTATCACTCTTTCTTTTTACTCTAGATCGTGTGGTAGAGCTCAGTTGTAAGAACTCAATTTCCTAAACTCTATCTTATTCATAATACGATCCAGAAATATTGGTGGTAAGATATTGAATGTGGATATGGAAGAGTTGAGTCAGAGGAACTCGATTTTTCATGATACTTATGATAAGTAAATATAAGGTCTTCAGTAGATCATGTGTATACTAAGACGTGAAAGCCTCTTGATAAGGAGCCTTAAGGCAAGAATATCTATCCACCATTATGGTGAATGACAATGAGAGATTTAGGAGATAAATACAAGTTTCAAGAAGCAAAAAAAAACAAGATGAAGAAGCGTACAAGGCACTCAATTAATGAAGGTTAACAGTATTTACAATTCAAGCAGAGAAATATAAGCATTTTGAGCTACCTTCAATTGTAACAGACGTATGTACAATCGGCCACACCTATCTCAGTTATGCTCTATAGGAAATAATAAATGTGATTTAAGAAAAGGACGGGATATCAGGATCCGTCTGGGGTTATAGTAACCCAAAAATGGTGAATGAATTGTATAAGTTAGTTGACATTTCCGAAGGATATTTCA